TATAGAAGACCGAACTGGGATCATTATATTATATACTTTTTTTATATGCCCCAAGGCCCTCCCATTACATTTAATTGCCCTGTTCTCTTTGCCTTTTTGCCACTTCCGATCGCTATCACGACGACGTCGGCTGAATACCACGTGCTCGGTCCGAACCAATAATAAACTAGAGTCCACTGACGTACGTGGTACTGTTCAGCCCTCTCTATAGACCTTGCCGAAGAAAACCTCGTTCCGCCTGAACAAACCTGAAACTACAAAGTTAACTTACGAAATATTATTTACAATTAGAACAAAGTAAGTTTTTAAAAAATTGAAATATAATTAAATAAGATTTTAACCTACACCCTCGCTTTTTCTTTTCGTTAACTAGTTCCTTTCGTTCCGCATCAAAACACAACAGGAACAATAATCAAGAAGGATAATAATCATTTTACAAAAACACCCTATACACCTGTGAGTGCGAGAGACGATGACGTCACAGCATTTCCTGTTCTCACGAGATCGCATCGCGCCGAAATAATTACTATACTAGATACATCCGAACTCGGCACACTCCTCAAGAGAGCCCACGACGAAGACACAACGCTACAACGAACGTTAGAAGAGAAGAGGTTTAGGAGTCGGATGGGTTTCGAATTTACGACCGTCGAGAACTTCGGTTTCTGTCCATAACGGCCCACACTGATTACCGATCAAACAACAGCCACCACTTTTCTTCCACACTTCAGGATCGTGAACAACAACAGCAACAACAACATGGGCCGTCATCAGGATTAATTCGAAAAGGGGGTACGCTTACGTGTCAACGCCTTAAAGTTAGAGGAGATCCTACTGTTGAGATAAGATTTGAAATTTAAAAAGAAGTGGTTTAAATTTTTATGTTTTAAAGGAAACAAAATACTAAAAATAAAATAAATTAAAAAAAAAAAAATAACAGGATGTTATCAAAAAGTGTGATAAGATATTATAATCAGTAGTACAAATCGTTTTGTTTTTATGAAATAAACCTGCGTGTTGTCTGGGTAAACATTTTGCTACACTCATGAACTTGTGTAGAATTATTAATTTGCTTCTGTTCTTTGTGTACACAAAAATAAAGCGATTAAATAGAAATTATTGTCGAAATTTACAATGAATTTGTATATCATACTTATACACATGACTTCATAAAATTACTCAACAAATTAGTTGTAATTTGACTTGAAAATTTTTATGGTTATTTTTATGATTACGTTTGATGATATTTCGAGACTATTCCTTGTCACAGTTTCTTGATTCCGAGACATTATTAGATCCGTTCGACGAGTTTCGAAAGTGCTCCGAAAACGAGGGGCGAGAGAGAGAGAGATCTTTTAGAAAAAGAGTTATCCTCACTGCGTTTACGCAAACATATAGAGCGTACATCGCTTGTTGTGACATATCCAACGTGTCGAAGAAGAAGAGAGTCTTTGGGACTTTCACCCGGAGTGATCTTTTTTCGAATCAGACGGAGAAAATTGTCTCAATTTTTTCCGTTAAAATTATATTCTAATTTACTAAAATAGGAGAATTTTCTAGCGATATAACTGTATATCATATAATTCGAATACATTATATGGTGTACCATAAGCACATTATTAGAACAAGAAAAGTGGACTCAAATTTTAAATTATAGAAAATATAGAAATTTAGAAGTATGCAAAGTTAGTTAAAGTTGGTTTCCTTTGGCATGTTGAGAATCGAATTGTGGAAACTCTGTATACGTGATAGCTCTATGGCTACGGACATTTGGGCCATCTGTATATATATTTAATTAGTTAATATTTAAAAGCTCCTTTGTAACAAATATGTTTTGTGTTGCTTCATATAATAATATAACACACCAAAGAAAATGTTAGAAATCTACAGTAAAATTTACTCCCTGTTTTGTGCGAACATCCTTGCTTAATGTTTTTCTGATCTAGTTACAGTTTTGAGTTAATATACGTTTTTAATAACAATTAGAATTTGGTACCTATGAGCATTTGGCCAGAACTTTTTCTAGTTCATAATTAGATAGGGTTTTACATCCATAAAAACCAGATTGGAAATCTTTTTCGAACTACTATTATGCTTATGGTTGGTTAATGTGGTGATTTGAAAGTGTTGGGCATCCTTCCAATGTGATTTTACACAATACCCATGTTTCTGTGAGTAAGATAGTAAGGCTAGGAATCAACATTGATCCATAAAAAAATTGGCTGCTAGAAAACATTTAATGCCGGTAAAAAAGAACATTATTCTCAACAACCTCGTGGACTCAAAAAGCATTCTATTCCATCTTTGCACATAAAATTAGAAATAATAAAACAGTTTGTGAAAGTCATGCCCAAAGAGGAACAGTGTTTGAAGTATATCGGCAAGAAATTTCTTCATTTGTCAAAAGCTGATATACTAAAAATATGCGATTCCAACTTTAAATCATAAATGAAAGTAACTAAGAGGAAGAATACCATTCAAACAGATTGTTACCATGTTCATAAGCAACAAAATGGATCCACTTTATGTTTCTATATTTATTAATATGCTGGAGAAATTTAAATACGTACCAAAGATATCCAAAATGTACAACACGCAATCAGGCCATAAGCAACAACTGAATATCAGAAGAATTATCCCACTACAATTCATAACATTTATGGATGAAATTATCAAACAGATAGACGGAATAGCAAACCATGATTTGTCGGCTATAAAAATCTGACACCGGTTAAAGTTTTTGAATGCTCTTTCACCAATGACATAACGATAATAGTGGATCCAGAAGACGAATTCAATAGAAAGTCTCAAGAACTAGAATAATATACTCAATATGAACGGGATGAAAATGAATAAGGAAAAAATAAAAGTAATGATGGTCAAGCATATACAACACTTAGGCACAATATTTGAAAATGATAGAAGACAGCAATCTGAAATTAACAAACAAGTAGAGAAAGCTCATAGGATCTCTATAGCTTAAGCAAGAAAAAGTCATAAAACATTATGGACCAATTGTGACATGCTGTTATGAGACATGGGTGCTAACAGAACAGCAGAAGAATAACATAAGAGCAATAGTAATTGAATATCTATGAAACATCTTTGGAGTCACAAAATCAAATAAAATCCCCAATGATTCCATTAGAAGCCAATTGAATATAAAACCTATTGAACGATATATGCAAGAGACAACCGGGTTGGTGGACCATTTACAAAGACTGCCGACAAGCACGTATAGCAAAACAACAAGATGCTGATTATTTTATTAATTACATTAAATGAACACTATCTATCGGTGTCAAAAGCCAAGGCACCTCACTTTAGAGATCGATATCTTCGCAACCGCTCCATAAAAAGAATTGCGGCAAAGTTTGTTGTAATCACTGAACATTTCTACATAACATATGTTAATTTGAAAATTTTCGAATTCGCGGTTTTCCTTTTATCGCAAATTAAATGAAAAAGTACCCGTTTATTGAGGGTGTCGGCAACTTTGTCCACTTTGCGTTTTTATCTCAAAAACTATCCGACGAAAAAGATTCAAATTTGAACAGGTGGTAGAATGATGTGTTCTTAATGAGGGGCATGTTTTATTTTTTCGATATTCCATATAGTTTCGCATAAAATCGCGGTTTAGTAGGACGCCGTTATGTCGAAAACGGATTTCATCGCAGATTTGATTAAAATATGTCAAAATACTACATCTACATAAAATATGTAGATCTCTAAAGTGAGGTCTTGACTTTTGGCACGGATAGTAGGCATGTATGGTGGATCAGAGAGGTGTTCAAGTTGGTTAGATGATTGATCAAGATTACATGTTAAAGTTATACAGTGTGCATTACCACATCATTGAATAAATAAATGAATTTTTGTTAACATCGTCATTGAATGTTAGAGAGGTTGGCTCAAAAGTGAACGTGCTACAAGAGATATCATATTTTGTCGGAAATAGTTGGAGAAATATTAGTAATGAGAGTATAAGCAATAGTTTGAGTCATTATGGTTTCAAAGATCATACTATTATTGAAAGAAATGAGTTACTCAAAGTGATGATATAGAATCAACAACGATTTCTTGGAAATAGATGCTAATCAAATCTTGAAATTTGTAATGATGACGAAGACCAACAACAAATGAAGACTCTCTAATGGATGATTATACACATAAAAAACTTTGTGGTAGTTTTAATAATAATTTTGGTATACACTTAAGATACAGTTATAAAAAAAAATATATTCTAATAATAAATTTATTCCTTCTGAGAAAATCTTAAACAATAATAATAGTTTCCCATGATAATCATCTCTTAATAATAAACTCAAATGGTAAGTTGCGTTATATACACGCAAACAATCTTTTAAAAAGAACCGTACAAATGTTCTTCGTGGGGTCTTAATAGATAACAACAGGAAAACCGCGAAAAAACAATAATTAACCGAAAACATCGGGCGGATTCATTGTAATTTGGTCGGGTCGACGTCAATAAACCGACGACTTGGGCATATAATTGACCCCACCGACCTTATTTCCTTTGACCTCCCGTCGTCACATCCGGTCGAACCTGGGGCCTGATCCTGTCAGGTTTAACACTCCATCTTCATGAATATTCTAAATACACTATGTACACATCAAGAAAAACATTCTTTTTTTATGTATTAAAAAAAATAATTTGAAAACAAAAAGAGAAGATTTAAAAAAGAAGACTTCTCTGGTTACTTTAGAGTTATTAAAAAATTGACACCAATCAATAAAATTTTTTTTGCTATTTAATAATTAATATTTAAATCTTTGATAAAAATAATTATTTGTGTTTTTTTTTTAAGATATTTATTAAACCCCCCTTGCTTGCGGCGGTCCCCGCCCCGCGACATCTAGTACGCGTGCCCGCCGACCGACGGGGGGCAGCACCGTAACCTCTTCCACCAGGTAAACCGGGCGGTCACAGCGCGGCCAACCCAACCCACCTTGAAGGCTCGAATCAGTGCCTAACCGCGGTGAGGAGTCTCAGTGCGCTGACAATCGCGATACCGTAGACTTCGCCGCCGCCACCTGCGATCTCTACGACGACATCGAAAATCGCGACAAGTGTCATCCCAACCCCTCGTTCACCGCGTGCGGTAAAACAAAAATTATTAATAAAAACACGTTTAATATATTTTCAAAAATGACATTTTGATCAACGCAAGTTTTTTTTGGAACAATTAAGAAGGTTTTTGTTGATTAGTCAAAGTGTGCTTTGGACTGAAAATTACAAAAGAAAAACGTTTTAAGTAGTGTTTTTTTTTCTTTTTCGTTTGTGGTTTGTTTATTAACAGACTATGTAGTGGTTGCTGAAATCGATTTGTATTTTCCTTTTATTTTGAAACATTCGTTTGGATTTTTTTTTAATCTTAACTTTGATTTAACTAAGAGAAATCTGTGTGATTTGTGCGTGTCCGATATGGCATCCGACGAGGATTGTAACACTACTTTTACATACGGGTGAGTCTCAAAATGTTAAAAAAACGAAATAAATAAAAAGAATTATAAATTTATGTCCACATGATCCACATTTGTCATACCAAATAAGTACCAACTTCTTATTGCCTTTATATTGAATTCTATTTTATTACTTATAATCCGATTTAAGGCACTAGAATGACAGGTACGTTAATTAAATATTAACGAAGGCGATATTTTGTATCAATAAATGCAAAAATATCGTTCAGGAATCTATGAAAATTCATAAAGGAAAATATGGTTTTGTTTTTCTACAAGTTTTAATGAAAACAGCCTTTAACAGTAAAGTAATTATTTTTTTCCTTCATGGGATAAAAAGGACAACGTTTTTAACACTCTAACTAATTTGGAAAAAGAAATTTAACTTACTCTTGAAAAAAGATTGCAACTCTATTTTGTACAAAGATTAATCTATGTCCACAACATGATTTTATGTTTGGAAAGTTTGATTGAAAAGATGTTTACGATATCCAGAATAATGATCACATCATTATCAAGATGAATTAGATTTTCTCTAAATTAAACATTTTCGGCATTCTAACTGTTAGAAACATCCTAGAATTTACAATTTGGCAAAAGAAATTAAACTTACTCTTAAAAAAACGATTGCAACTCTGTTTTGTACAAAGATTAATCTATGTTCACAACTTGATCTTATGATTATAAAGTTTGATTGAAAAGGTGTTGACCATATCCAGAATAATGATCATCATATCATTATCAAGATCAATTAGATTTTCTCTAAACTGTCGTTAACTCAATGCAGATTTTGCAATTTTATGAATTCAATCTGCACAAAAGCTTAACACACAAATATTCTTAATCTTTTTTTTACTGCCTCATTACACTAGGATTTTCGAGTAATAATAGATTTTAATAGATGGCGCTAGTTATTTCAAAGAATTTAGGCACGAAATTGTACGTCATCAATTAAAATAAACAGATGGTGATGGTCGACCATTTTTTGGCAAAACGAGGCGCCAACTTTTGATGGTATTTTAAAGTGATTTGCTAAATCAAAGTGTCACAACAAATTTTGCCAGAAAATGGCGCTTAATTGCGGTACTTAATCTATTTAGGGACTTCTTATTAGTCATTGATGACATCTGGTGCCAACCAAAATAATTAAGTTAATGCCGAAACTTTCAAAACATCTTTTCATTGATTACATATAATTTTGCCGTCGGTAAATGCAATAACGCTAATTAAACTTTAACACGGTTATTGTATAACGGTAAATTCCCGTCAAAAATCTTGCAAAAAAAATCGATGACTTAAAAAGATTAAGTACTAATTACTTTTGATAAAAATTGATTGCGAAAAATTTTCGTTTTTGTTTCACCTATGTTTATATTCAGAGAAGATTAGTGTTTATTTTTTGTTATCGTAAGATGCCTCAGCAATTTTTCATTGATAAACTTTTATTTTATTTACTCTTTTTTAATTGAGTAGTATTTAATATTATTTATTGTAATGCCTAAAATTTAAGCGGTAAAAAATTAATTACGTAAGTAAATTCGCACACTGATTTGTTAATACTCTTATCTTAAAGTAAATAAACGGTAAAATTGCGAAAGGTGGTTGTTGTTTAACCGTTTATTGTTAGGTTACCTATTTATTTGCTTTGAAATCAAGTTAAATCGAATTAATGATTAAAAATAAATAAAAACAATTTAATTTTTTTAAACGCAAATCGATATCTAATGTAACTACGCACTTTACACGTGTATTAATTTAGTAATCTATTAATCGATTCTTATAAATACTTCGAAAAACATCCCAACTAAAATAGATTATTATCTAGAAAAGTTAGAAAGATAACAATATCAACTTAGAAAATTCTTCTTGTTTAAAAAAATTGATCACTAATCTTTATATCACCACGGATTTTCTTCAAGTAATTATTGTATCTATCAATTTGAGGTTGTATCATTTCTCACAATTCAATTTATAACAAATCACACAAAAGCACAATCTAAAGATTGCAACATTATTATATAAAAAATAAAGTCTTCTTCGCTTTCTTCTCATTTCCAATCATTATTATCTCGATGTGATTGAGGTTACTCGAAACTATCTTTTTGTGCGAAATATCAAGCGAAAAAAATTTAAATAAGCGGGATATTTAAATTTAATGATGAAATTTTAACTGCGCGTTAACTTTTCTGATTAAATATTCAAACCTGTAACAACAATAATTTCCGGAAAAACGCCGGCTTACTTGTTACATCATCGTACACAAGCTCGTGTCCGTGGAAAAAAATAAAAATATTTTCGATTTAATCATTTTTTTTGCGGCCGCGTGTAATTTTTTATAAAACGTGCTTTCTTGATAAATAAAACCCTACATTACAAAATTGTGACAAGAAAAAAAACCCTATCATTAAATGGTACACGCGAGCTAAGCGTTACGAAAAATAGTGGAAAGTAGTTTAAAGTAGTATTAAGTATGCGAAATCGTACACGGGCCAAATTAGATTAGATAGGGAAATTTTGATTTCGTAGAAATTAAAACCGATTAGAAAGAAATATAAGAAAAAAAGTAATTTGAAAGTATGTCGGTTATTTTTGTTTGACTATTTTAATCGCACGCGTTTACAAAGAAATATTAAAAAAATTAAATCGATATTTTTATCGATTTTCGAAAATTAATTCTTTAAATTCACATATTAATGATTTGTCATTGATAAACAAGCAACAAACACCTCTGATCAAAACAAACAATTGAAAACATAATTTCTTGGGCAATTAAGTAAGCAAAAATCATATATTTCTGAACGATTGCTTATGGTCCAATTGGTAAAGATTACACATTCATTTAAATATTCCCCATTATTTTCCTGGGAATAAAAGAAAGGTCCCCTCAGCGTTAATAACCACTTGCCTCGTATATGTCTAACATACCTTATAACTTCCTGCCAAAAAATTTACACTTTAGAACAGTTCATGGAAGTAAATACAAGCCGTAATATGAATTGGCTATCATTTGGTACAAATGATAAAAATATGGCTATGTTGTTATGGAAAGTTTATTTGAAGGAGTAAGGTGATTCACATTTGTGATTACTCGCAAAACATGTAACTCCGAATTGGCGATTTGTTCTGCAATGTTGATTTTCAAGATATACAATGTTTGTGGCATGTGACATTTCAAATCCTCTAAAAACCCTCTATCGTTGCTGTAGCTCTTTGAGGGATGGCTCCTATTAGAACCAACAATACTCGAGACACAACTTAACAACTAGTGGCAAAAAACCTCGTCTTCAAGACAATAAGGAGAAATCACTTTTTCACAGCAATGCATTCATTGCCTCTCTGTATATTTCATGTATTGGATTCTCCATAGCTCAAAATCGCAAATTTCGTTTATTCACAAAACCACATAAATGAAATGGACTTCATCGCTCGTTATAATTTTGGATACGAAATCATCATCTTCTTGCTATAGGATTAATAGAACATGGTAGTAAAAACTCACTTTACGGTCAGCAGGCAGCAATTGATAATAAACAATTCGGAAATATCTTCAGATCTCGGCTTAACGAACATTCGGCGCCGGCCACTTCTTGTGACATCTCTAGTGAACCCAGCTTGCATGAAACGCTCAGCGCAATATGTGTCACATCTGCGTCGAAACAACAGACCGGAAATTGATGAAATAACTAAGTAATGTTTAATGATGGTAAATAGTGGTTGTCATTTAATTCTTTATACATCTACAAGATAAATGGCAAAACACCTAGTAGATGTCAGCATCTAAGCAACAAGCATCGTGAAGCCTTGAAACTGGCATACAAAGGTTGATGTTTTGTCAATGCAGAAGACTTGTGTACATTATCGTGCAAAAGAAAGACACAAAGACCATTCTCTTAATCTGTCGCCTAAAACTTGCCTACATGATGACGGAAAACAACCCGTACATTCTCAATCCATACTCTTCCATTCTTCAATAACTGCATCCACTAGTCGATTGTGGTTGGAAAGGGAACTGCGGATAATTTTTTTTAAGATTTTCTCATAAATACTTAATAAAATTCATAAAATGCATGCAAGTAGTTAATAACAACAAGTCCCTTACGTTTACAAAGCAGTAATTTGCATTTAAAAGTTAGCAGATCGTTTTTTTTTCGTGGTTGTGACTACAGACTGCCTAAATTCATGTTAAGTTTGATTCATATGTCATGTGGTTGTATGGTGTTATCATTGGTACAATCCAATTGCACATAGTAAGATTGTGTTTTGGACATGGGTCAAAATAAATCTCAACTGACGACATGTCTAGTCATGTGAGAACTCGCATTATCTTGCATGATTACAAAAGTTTAACGTGTTCAAATGAGACGTTTTCTGTAGGGACCAACGCTATACACGCGATGAAGCCTTTCTAAAACATTACAGAGTTGCCACCAAACGGTATTAATAAAAAAAAAGTGTTATTAGTTACAAATCTTTCTCCTTTTCTTCGTTAGAATATAATCTTTTAGCAATTGCTAACAGACCAATGGCGATGATTTGTGACAAAACGCAATCTTAGAACATTGTGTTCTGGCTAAATAATGTTTTTACTTCCTGGTCTTTAATTCTGTTTTATTTAAACGTCTGCTGCTTGTTTGAGGTAATAATACAACATTATGAATCACCGATAACTAAATTTTTAACACATAACTAGTAATTATCCTACTCTCGAGAGCGGATTATCTCAGAATTCATTCCTTAGTTGATACCCAGTTTCGGTATGTCGTCAAATCCTGCAACTTATGCTGGAATTATTTCTCTCCAACACATTGGCAACGTAACGCATCAAATACCCAGAAGAGTTAATAACAACAATCAAAAACGATCACAGGTATGAGATTCAATCATACAGATAAATTATATCAACCGCAATATACTAAACATCACTCCTATGGTTAGCTTAACAGGTGATGGTAAAAGTAAAAATTAATCATAAAGCATGAAATTAATTATAAATTTTTAATTTT